ATATATATATATATATATATATATACAAGAGATTTCTAAACAAAGACATCAATTACACTATTGTGTACAGAAGCAACCTAAAAGTAATAGTGAGCAAAGGAAAATGTACATCCAAAAATTAGATTCACCGTACCATTTAAAAACATTTCTGAAGTCACATTGTCTGCACGCGTGGAGAATAATACTTCGGTTCTTCAGTTCCCCCAATCACCCACGTTCGAGCTTTTCTGATTTCCGGAATAGTGAAGAGAGTGTCACATCACTATTTCTCAGGATACACCATGACACTTCAAAAACCTGCAATAAAATTGACAAAGAAACCAATTATTACTCCTTAACAAATATTACGGAATTTTAAAAACCCAAATTTAAAAGTTCCAAAAGCGTGAATCGAACCTTCGCTTGCCATATGAAAACGCATAGCGCTACCACTATGCTACGACGCACCTAACACTTACACGCCATATGAAGTAAACAAAAATAGATTCTAAAAAAATTGCCAAACTCCCCTCCACCCTACCCATTTTTCCAATTTCCAAAATCGCGCCGATGGCAGCATAAAACCCCTCAGGACGAACCTTAATCCTTCAAAAACCAATCATACACATCAGATAAAATTCAAAAACAAAATTTTAAAAGTAGGACCCGAACCGACGCTTGGCGTGCGAAAACACATAACGTTACCACTATGCTACAATGAACCTACCGCTACAACTTGCTATGAAATAGGTAAATATGAATTTCGGAAAAAATGCCATCCTATTGCACCACCTTTCGTCCGAATTTCATAATTTTAATCTACTAAAAATGCACTTAGCACTTCTTGAACACCAGAATGGAAAAAAGAAAATAAATGGAAATGAATAAAATCACACAATCTGAAATCAAAAGTCCCTTTCCTTCTCCTCTAAATTGCACAGTTTTCACAATGAAGTGAATCTAACATATTTTCGACACCGAATAACGAAACGAATGGATATAAATTAGATAAACATGACCATTTAACGTTGATATCAGTGCAGTTTCCTTCGGATTGTTCGCCTCGCACCTCCATATTAACATTCGTCCGTTCGATTTTGATTTTTGAGATCCAAATTCGATCCGCCATACTAACACTCGATTTGAGATAGACTTTTGAAATCCAGATACATATGAATTGAACCAATCCACGATTGAATATTTCACCCCGACAGGCTCAATGAAATATAACATCGTAAATGCAGACAACCGATTAAACTTGAAATAGGTGAAGATGCATTCCGAAAAAATGCCATCCTCTCCTTTCCTTCTCCTATCCGAATTTCATAATTTTAATCTATTAAAAATGCCTTTAGCACTGTTTGAACATCATTACGGAAAAAAAATTGCATAAGTTGAAATGAATAAAATCTGGCATTGTGGAGTCAAAAGTTCCTCTCATTCTCCTCTAAATTGCTCAATTTTCACAAATAAAGCGAATTCAACATATTTTCAACACCAATTAACGAAACGACTGAATAGAAATTAGACAAACATGACCGTTTAACGTTGATATCAGTGCAGTTTCTGTCAGATTATCCACCTCGCACCGCCATGTCAACATTCGTCCGTTCAATTTTGATTTTTGAGATTCATATTCAATCCGCCCGCCATATTAACATTCGATTTGATTAACATCCGACTTGAGATTGATTGTTGAAATCCAGATACATATGAATTGAACCAATCCACGATTGAATATTTCATTCCGACAGGCTCAATGAAATATAACATTGTAAATGTAGACAACCAATGCAACTCATGCCATCAATGATGATCAACTCATTCAGGTCAACAATGGAATTATTGCTGTTCTTACATGGTGATTGATAGCAGTATTTCAGAAATAAGTAATTCTTTATACACAAAATCAACAGGAAACAACAACCATAAGATGAAATGAAAACTGTTACAAACGTTTTCTAAATTAATCTCCACTACTTTCTATAATATAAACACAGACATTAAATTTTCGTGGAACACCCGAGGTCCTCCGCCGCTGTCCACATAGACATGGTAGTCTGACGGTACGAATGCCGGGTTCACCCGGAACCGGGATAGGATTTCTCCTTGGGTTATCAGCCCATTCTCCCGGACGCACTGCATTCGAACACCTACAAGGGTGCTCGAAAATCTAATGTCTGTGCTTCTCACTTAATCAAGAATGGAAAAATAATGCATTGAAAACATTCAGTAACAGTTTCATCTAGTCTTATGGGCGTTCTCGACCTTTACCTAAGTTAAGGGGTCGAATAGACATGCAAATGTTGCAGAAAAAACCCTCACAAAATTAAATGAACAAAAAACTAATGGCAAAAGGTTGACCTGACGGAAGATCGTCAGTCGATCGCCGCGACCCAATAGTTTCACGTCCGCTTATCGCTGGGATATCGTTCGTTGTCCTTGGCTTGGTAGGATGTTCTGCACGCGCTCTATACTCGTAACCGACCACACAGCACATCACGGAATGCAAGTTGTTATCACGATCATAAGTAATAAATTAACACGCCTGCTAAATTTCTCTCCACCCTTCTCATTTTTTTCTATTTCCAAAGTTGCGAGGATATCGGATTAAAACCCCCCAGGACGCACCTGAAGCCTTCAAAAACCAAATCTAAAAATTAGATAAAATATGTAAACAAAATTTCAGAAGTTGGATACGAACCCTCGCTTATTGTGTGAAAACTTATAACGTTACCATTGCGCTAGGACGCACCTATCACTACCCACTTGGTGTGAAGTAGACAAAATCGGATTATTTAAAAAAATGTCAACCTCCTCTCCTCCCTCCCCATTTTCTCAATTTCCAAAATCGCGAGGATGCCGATTACAGGACGCACCTCAAGCCTTAGAAAACCAATTCTAAATATCAGATAAAATTCAAAAACGAAATTTCAGAACTAAGATCCGAACCCCCACTTATCTTGCGGAAACACATGATGTTACCACTATGCTACAATGAACATACTACTTCAACCTCCTATGAAATTGGTGAAGATGGATTCAAAAAAAAATTGCCATCACTTCCTCCACCTTCCGTCCGAATTTCTTAATTTTGATCTTTTCGTATCTAAACTTCATAACTAAAAATGCCTTAAGCACTGTCTGAACATCACAATGGAAAAACAAAGTACATAAATGAAAATCAAAAGTCCCTCTCATTCTCCTCCCTACTGCGCTATATTCACGAAAACGCGCATTCGATATATTTTTAACATCAAATAATGAAACGAATGGACAAAGACTGAATAAACGTGACCATTTGACGTTGACATTAATGCAGTTTTCTTCGGATTGTTCGCCTCTCACCTCCATATTAACATTCATACGTTTTGATTTCGATTTTTGAGATCCATACAGATATTCATTAAACCGATCCACGATTGAACACTTCATCCCGATGCGTTCAATGAAATTTAACATTATAAATGTAGATCACGAACACATAATATTTAACATTCTAAGTGTAGACAATCAGAGCAACTGAGGATCATTCCGTTCAGGCCAATAATGCAATTATCCCTGTTCTTACATGCTATATGATAGCAGAAAAAAACTATTCCTTAAAATCAGTTGCTCCACTAACTAAATTTTCCCCACGTCACCCGTGCATCTCAAGGCTGATTGTGTTCG